ACTCCTACTCCTACTCCTACTCCTACTCCTACTCCTACTCCTACTCCTACTCCTACTCCCACTCCCACTCCCACTCCCACTCCTACTCCTACTCCTACTGCTACTACTCCTCCCTGCTTTTGCTCCTGCTCCTTCTCCTCCTCCTCCTGCCCTGCTGCTGCTGATTCTAGTACTACATTATCTTCGTCATCGTCGCTATCAGCATCAACGTCGCACCACAAGAGCTAGTAGAAGCACGAGCGACGCACAACGAATCTGGAGCCCTTCCTAGCACCTTGCGATGTTTTGTGCTGCCGATCGAAGTGGAGTTTGCTTCGCAAGGTTCTTGGTGCTTGACTTCTACAACAGTTGGCTCGGAGCCCCAGCGCGTTTCGAGTCCAGGGCTTCGAGCAGTTTTCTTGCGTTGGCAGCAGCAGCTGCCTCTTCGGTGTGGTGGCCTCATTTGCATCAGAGTTCTGGACAACGCAATGCGCTGCCATTGTGATCTGGTGCGATATTTCATCATTAAGCTTGGTCCAGGTCTTGAGTTTTCTTGGCAGGGTTTTAAGACCTGCCAAGGACGGTTATGCTCACCATGAACCTGCGAAGCTGCACCGAAGTGGAGGCCGAAAGAGCATGGGGAAGCAATGCACAGAGCTATACCGTGCTGGGCTTTAGAGTAGAGTCAGATGAGACTTGGACCGAAGGCTTCTCCAAAGCATGTGGTGCTCCAATTTTCTTCACGGCTGGACTTGGTGAAAGTGATTCGTTCGTGAGGCGCAGATATGTGGACACTTCCTCAATGCGTCTCAGTTGCAGGGTCAGCATCTGCCCGGAAAGATGGAACAGAGAATCCCATCGTGCCTCAGGATCGATGTCCCAAGCTGATGTGAGAAATCAGCCCCAATGCCGCCACTCCCAAGCTCCAAGTTCGCCTAAGCTAAGGAGATGATGTCCTACATTCACGGCTTGCGGACCGGCTCTCAGAAGCTTGTGGCCGTTGCCTTGCTGTAGACTGGCTGATGCTGGCTGATCACTGCCACCAGGGTGGAGTAAGTACGAAGCGACCAGCTTCGCGACCGTGGGACTGGCTACTTCAGCAAAAGCGATGCTTAGAGTAGAGGAACAGACCTGCCGCTCGAAAAACAACTTGGGCTGCAATCAGCTACAGAAGCAACAGCGACGGCGGCAGCAGCAACAGCAAGGTGCAGCAACGACAGCAAGAGTTTGGCAGGGTTACATGACGACATGCGTTGCACAGGCATGCCACGTTGACTATACTTTTGATTGACAGACAACTTGGTAAAGCCATCTCAGCGAAACTCAACAAGCAGCACAACCTCTCGCTGCCCTCGCCCATGCCGCTTTTCGGGAGTGCAGCTTCAAATGCAAACCACATCGGCAGAGCCAACCTCGTGCCAGTTTGCTAAGCCTAGCCATAAGAGAACGCGAAGGGCATCTGCGCAGCCAGCATTTTACTGTCTCACAATCAGTCTCTCTGCTTTCCGCCCCATCGATGGCACGATCAGGAAAAGCGAAAAGGCATTCGAAGCTGAGATGAAGCATCTCTGGCATGTTGGAGTGATGGCAGTGCCCCCTTGCATTCTAGGAAGGTGTCAGTACAGGGCTTGCGAGCTTCAGTGAGCTGGTCGTTATTGACCCCTGTTCCCGTGTTGATGTGGCTTTGACACGGAGATTTGGAAGCTCTGCATGGCCCCAGGGACAATCCTTGCTTCCACCGCCATCACTACGGCGGCGCAGAGGCTGACAGCTCCGTGGCACCGGAGTCCCGCCCTCAGCAAAAGTGTTCATGAACTGGCAGTTGCCAAGCTTGATGCTTCGTGGTCCCTTCTGGGAGCCGTTAGTACCGTGGTGAGGTATGCGAAGCATGCCGACATCGTCAGAGGTCACAACAAGTGGGAGGTTGGCCTTGCCTTGTGCTGGAGATACGAGCAACTAGGAAGCAAGCACCCCGTGAGCCCTACTTCTCGCCCAACAGGACTTTTGCTCCGAAACCACATGGCTTGTCTTGAAGAGCTGCGCGATCTGTTTATCAGCGGTGTCAACTTCAGTCAACCTCGCACCAGAGTCGTCATCCGCAAGGAAGCTTTACCTTTTTCCAATGCCAGGGCAAGATCCTCAAAGCCTTGCGCCAAAATCTGGAATCGGAGGATGTGCTGCGTGCTTTCCATGCTGCTGAGTAGACGATCACATCCACGACTCAGCCCTGAGATTGAAGCGCATCTTACTTCTTAAGGCTCGAATGCAGCATTGCGAGAGTGTGATTTCAAGACCGCGAGGAATGGACGGACAAGCGCAATGCTCTTCTCCTCCTCAGCAAGTCCTGCGAGACTTATCCGATAGTGGAGAAGTGCTCCAAACGCAAGCGAATGGGAGGGCACAGCGTGTGAGTCTCAATTTGGATTCTTACCTGGACGTGCGACGGCTCAAGGTACGCCAGAACGGTGCTGCAGTGTGTTGAGAACGTTCGCGAAAGAGAGGCCGCCATCTTCAAGTCTCCCCTGCAGCGGGTGGGTAGCCTGCGAAGTAGGGCTGAGGAGGCAACCTGTGTTGGAAGCAGGCACTTTGTAGTTTGTAGCTGCATTCGTGTCAAACTTGCCGCGCAGAAAGCGAGCGATTTGAAGACGCTGGCGGCCTCGCTTGCCACCAAGCTGCAGCGCACTCAGTTGCTTGAATTGCGCAGCAAGCCTCGTTTGCCGTCTGCACCACATCCATCGATGCTGCAGATTATCAATTGCCAATTGCCGTTCGAGGAAAGCCCAGAGCAAGAACTGGACTCTCTGCCATGGTTGCTCAACTTTCAGGTCAAATCATGCTGACCATTACGGGGCCTCGTAACCTCGTAGCAGTAATGTAGGCCGGCATCATGTCGAAACCGAGGATTTTTTGGATGTCAAAGAAGTCAGTGGCGTCGGGCATCCTCTTCTGAAGCGAGTTATCTATATCATTTGTAATATACATATATATATATATACATACAAAGAACTACAACTTTCTCTCTCTCTCTCTATATATATATAACATGTATGTGCACATGTATGTATTTATGTACTTACGTACGTACGTACATGCGTACACACGTATGCATGTATGCAGGGGCTGAGGGAGGGGCTGAGGGAGGGAAGGGAAGGGGAGGTGTGTGTGTGTGTGTATGTGTGACTCTATACCTTGCGCACGCAGACACACATGTATGTGTGTGTACACAAACACACCTTTTCATGATATGCATATGCAGAGCTTGCAACCGTTCTTGCCAGGATCAAGACCGAGATCAAAGAGGCTATCGAGCCAAGATTTGTCTTCTTTAGCTGCAGGGCTTGGCTCGGATACTGTGTTTCGGGTTTAGTTTAGAGAAGTTCAGCATTCCAGTTGTGCACCTCCCGAAATCTGCGCTGTCATGCAGGCGCCGAAGGGTGCTGCGAAAGCCAAAGAGGCACCAAAGGCAAAAGTTGTCAAGGAAGTTCCAAAAGATGCCACTCCCAAGGCCAGGTGCTCTACTGTATCTACTGTGCTTGCTTCTGAGTTGACGGTGTTGCAGAAGCCTCTGGAAAACGAAAGTCCTAGCCGCTGGCATTGTTGGAGGAGTCCAAGAAGGATGGAGATGCAAAGAAGGAGGCACCAGCGTGCTGCTGCGGGCGTGTGGCTGTGGAGGAGAACAAGAGTAAGCTCGCAATTTTCTTCCGGTTTAACAGACTGAGGACACTGTGGGCATGCTGCATTCTTCTGGCAGGTGGTGAAGACGAAAGAGGCACCCAAAGCAAAGGAAGCCACCAAGGACAGGAACTTATCTCCATCGTCGTGTTGCAAGATAGAGAAGAAGAAAGTATAGTGTCTGCGTGTGTGGATCTTCGACAATGCACATTACAAAGCACTCCGTTCGTCAAATTTCGAGACAACACGACTTCGCATTGCCATGCAGCAGAAGTGATGCAATGCGTACGGACTTGTTTCTTTTCACAGCACGTTCGCTCCCCGCAGGACGGCGTGCAATCGGCCCCGAAGGCCAAGAAGGACGACAACCACAACATATATCATAGGAAGTGCTATGGCCGACCCTTAAAAAAACACAGCCGAATTACGTTCGTCTAGGCTGTGCCCACCTGCGGGCAGCGCAGGTAGCAGCCCGGATTGCAAACCGATATAATATAAAGATAAACTTGAGCTTCAAATCGCAAACCATCTAGAACAACATTTGACAAGGACGGGGGGGCCCTTCTCCCCCGTGTCCCCAGGGCCCCACTGATGCTGATGATGTGCGCGCCGGGTCCCGGACTGGGGCCGCTGATGCTCATGATGCGCGCCCTTTGGGGGCTCCCCATGGCTACCCCAACATTACGCAAAAAACTCGAAATTGGCGGCACTGGCGGTCGCGCCTTTTGCTAAAGCAAAGTAGGGGGGGGGCTCGGGGACCGAGCGCTGCCCGATTCTAGGGGCTGCGCCCACGGGCGGGCAGCGGCGGTAGCAAGGCCATGCGGCCCCCCTCGCCAAACCCCGCTGATGCTGATGATGCGCGCCCTTTGGGGTCCGCCGAACCCCGCTGATGCTGATAATGCGCGCCCTTTAAGGGCTTCCGCAACCTATTCAAAAATGTTCAAATATCGCGCTGCCTGGGCCGCTGTAGGCGCGCCTGGGTGCCCATGATGCTCGCCGAATGTCCTCCTGAATTGGTCCACGAATGCCCCAAAACCCACCATACCGTGGGGAAGGGCCACAAAAACACGTGCGTTGCCGGGTAAGCCTCCAAACGAGGTCCCCGCGCGGCCCAATGGAAGAACGAGTCCGATGACGCGCCTTCTGCTAACGCAAAGCTAGCAAGCTACGGCTCGACCGAGGCTCGAGTCCACGGGGCGCACGCGCTCGACGACCGAGCGCTGCCCGCTTCTAGGGGCTGCGCCCACGGGCGGGCAGCGCAAGTAGAAGCCTGGAGCACGGCCACGCACCCCCCCCTCCGCCGAATGCTGATGATGCGCGCCCTTTGGGGGCTTCCGCAACCGGGGCTTCCGCAACCGGGGCTTCCGCAACCCATTCAAAAACTTGCAAAACATCGCCTCGCGCTGCCTGGGCCGTTGCGGGCGCCCCGAGGCACACATTGGAGGCCTGCAAATACTTCGTACTATGGGGGTAAGCAAAAGGTGGGGGCCGTGGGGGCCGTGGGGGCGGGCCTGTAGATACTTCGCATTGGGTAGGTAAAAAGAAAGGTTTGGGGAAAAGGAAAGGTCTAGGGACGGCGAGTGCGGTCAGGGCGGGGGCGGCGGCGGCGGGGGGTTTGGGCACACATTGGAGGCCTGTAAATATTCGTACTATGGGGGTAAGTGAAAGTTCGTACTTATTCATGAACTATGCCTGGCAGTGACGGGGTTGAGCAGTTTGGAGGCTTCGTACTTCATAAACCCGAGCCAAAGGGGGGGGAGAAGGGAAATGGACGGGGGTCTGGAAGGGTGAGGGCAGTGGGGGCAGCTCGGGTTTGGGGAAGGTGAAGGGGGAGGTTAATCAGCGGTCAGGGCGGTGCGTGGCAAGGGGGTTTCGGCACGGATGGGAGGCTTGTTTCTTCGGAATAAGTGCAAAAAGGGGGGGGTCTGGGGGCGTTGAAAAGCCGGGAGGGGGTGAGGGCGCGAGGGCAACGGGGTCGAGCAATTTGGGGGCGGTCGGGGCGAGGGCGGTGGCGGGGTTTCGGCACGCATTGGAGGCCTGTAAATACTTCGTACAAGGAAAGGTTGAGGGTCTTGAGAGCGGTGGGATTTAGGGGCGGTGAGGGCGCACATCGGACACATACTTCCTACTGCATGAGCCGACCAGGCGGGTGGCAGCGACAGGTGGAGGCTTGTTTCTTTCTGTACCAGGGAGGGGGAAGGGCCGAGTAAAGCAGGGGGCATGGAGCGGGGTTTTTGCACGCATTGGAGGCCTGTAAATACTTCGTAAGGGGGCGGCCGAGGGAGGCCGGGGGGGGGCTTCGTAAACGAATAAACAGAACCCTTCGGGATTTCACTGACGCCGCTTCGGGGGGTCGGCGGATATCATGTTATATCATAGTATTAGATGTTATATCATGCTATTATGTTTCAGACGAGGTTAGATTATGCTTTATCATATTGTACTGTACTATAGTGTATACTATAATGTAATATGTATTTTGCCATTTACATTGTGTTACAATGTACTATATTATGCTACTTTATCTTATAGGATATCATATCATCTTATATCATATTTTTCACATATTATATCGTATATTGTCTGCACCATACTATGCTGTACTATGCGAATCTATACGGCACTATAATATTACACTACGCTATACTATGCTATGCTGTACTGTAACATCCTATATTGTACTTGTGCTATACTATGCTATGCTCTACTCAACTGTACTCTACTTTACTCTACTGTACTATGCTACGTTATACTCGTACTATACTATACTATACCATACCATACCATACCATGCTATGCTATGCCATGCTATGCTATGCTATGCTATGCTATGCTATGCTATGCTATGCTATGCTATGCTTTACTATACTATACTTTGCTATATACTCACTATATACTATACTATGCTATACTGTACTGTCTGTACTGTACTTTACTGTACTATGCAATACATTATTCCGTTTTATCATATTAGTTTACCTAGTGGTGCATTATATCATACTACAATGTCTCGTGTTTTAAAACACCTTTTTGCGGTATGCTCTCTGGCACACAGGAGTCCAGGGAGACAAAAGAGGCCAAGCCCAAGGAGGACCCTTCGGCCTCATTCAGAGCAGCTGGCTCCTCTTGCTGCTGCTATTCTGCATGTCATGTCGGAGACTTTTTTGAAGCTCTGGCTCGCAGTTAGTCTCATGCCTCGTGCGATGCTGTCGGCTGCTGGACATCGCCTGCCCTCCGTGCCGATGGTTGCGAAAGCTCGCGATGCAGCTTGGTCTCACAATGCTTCTCAGCCTCAGCGGGCACATCTTGTGGTCTTCCCAAGATCCCAAGAGCATAGAGCCTTTGCAGATCCATTGAAGGTACAGTGGTTTGGTGTGCCATTTCGCGATAGAAAAGGTCCTGATGCAGATGGTTGGCAGGCCAGCCAGGGCTTTTAAGGGCAAGCTGTGGAACATGTCGCACGCTTGCCTTGTTGCTGGAATATTTTTGCGATCCAGGAAGCAACCGTGCATGCCAGCGCTTTGCATGTTGGCCGCAGTGCGGTCGCTCTTGGCTCCTTGGCTTTGAAGTAAGCAAGGAATAGCACGGGGGTGCCCCGACGAACAGAAGAACGGCGAGCCAGATTGGCCCAGTATCCTTTCAACATTTCTCCAAGGTGGTGTTGCATGGCGATGCGTCCGCCGTATGGCTGCAGAGGCTGGGAGTACTGGAAAGGGCAGCACGCATATACCCTGCTACATCATGAAGTATACAAGATGATGTAAGATACTGCAATGCAATAAAGTGTAACACTACAGACAATACTATAGCATTACACAATACAAGAGCACATAACATAATATAACAAAACCCAGGATAGAATGACAGATAGAATCTAATTTCTATAACAGCATACAATAATACAGCAATAAGATAAGATAACATGATATAATCTAATAAAATGTAGTATCATGTACAACACGGTTAGTAACATACAAGTAATATATTGCAATATAAATCTTAAAACATAATGTAACATAAAATAGCGTAGCATACTGTAACATAATGTCATTCAATGTCATATAATGTCGTATAATGTAATATAGTTCAACGTAATATAACATAGTATAGTGATGTCAGATAGGAAAGTTAATATAATACTGTAATATAATGCTCTAATATCATGATGTAATATAATTTTGTAGAATGTAGTATTAGTATATTTTGTTTCAGTACAATATATGAACGTATTACTATTACGTTTGCTTGCCGCACAGGCCGAGGACGGAAAGCTGCTGTCCGCCAAGGTTCAGCTCGTTGCCTCTGTCTTGTACATGTGGTAGATTGATCCGCAGAAACATCGTGAAGCTGTGGACTTGAGTGGCGACGGTTCAGCCTTGATACAATCTTGCCTCGCGGAAGGCTGTGTTCAGACATCTTGGCGGGAAGCAGAGCTCTCCAGAACGCTTGCTGCTGGATCAAGGCCGGCATGCCCTAGCAATTGCGATCTGCAACAGTGTCTGATATGGGGCAAGCAATGGCAAGCAACACCCGAAAGGGTGCATCGTCCGACGGCAGGCTGCTTTCGTTCACTGTTGATCCGCCCTGTCGTCGTGCTTGCTCGCACAGGCTCTATGGTCCGCCAAGACAGAGAGAGCTTTAGCAGGTAAGCCAAACTCCAACACCCAATCCCTGCAGGGCTGAGTCGCACTTTCTGCTTCACAATCATGGCCACCAGCTCGTGCTAGATTGCACCGCCATTTGCATTGTGACGTTGCCTCATCCTGCAGGCAGCTTGAGTGCCGCATATGCGGGCCTTCTGACAAACCGTGCCTTGGAAGCAGCCGAGCGGAGCCCCATCAGTGTCAAAGAGAGCCAGCACAAGCCGTGTAACGACTGAAGCTGGCCTCGATCTTCGCAAGATCCAGCAGAGGCCCACTGCAGCTGCGTTGGCAAGAGGAGTCCTCTGCGGATAGCCAGGAAGCTGACGAGGAGGGCGCACTTTAAGATGGGGATAGACTCGGCTAGACACTGCAAGTCTTCGTCTTTCCTTTTCAGCCATAAATATTATACTGCTCAGCTATTGCCATTGTTTGGATTATTGCTATTTTTCGTTGCTGCTGCTGCTGGTGCTGCTGCTGATGCAGTAACAACTCAGCCGATGCTTGGAAGGATCGTCTTCCTGATGCAGTTGCCCGGATGCACGAGTGTTGCTTTGAATGGGGAGGAGGGTCGTGGGGTGCAGTTGGGAATCTTCCATGTTGGATAGATCCCCACCCTCTTCTTCCGCAAGCACCGGCTTGTGCTTTTGTGCTCGAAGCAGTGACACTCCAAAGTTTGCATCAAGCAGCGAACGTCCGTCTGTTGTTTGGCACCATCGCTCAGTGACGGCAGATAAGGAAGAAGCATGAACACCTTGTCATGCATGATTCCAAACGGCTTGTCAGGAACGTGACCTGGACTGTAGCAGCACGCCAAACCAGTATGGCCAGTATGGCTTGTACAGGTTTGTACTGATTGATTTGTTTCCAAGCGCGTCCTGCGGCATTGTCGACTGGTAAGCTGCGGTTGCTGTGCTGAGGTCTGTGCCGCTCGGGCTTACGGTGCCTTGTCAGCACCGCAAGCTCCCTCGCAACTCGTTCTTCGGGCAGCTCCATGGCTTCCTTTCTGTCTACTCTCTACATCGGTGTTCCCGACAAGAGGTGTGCGAAGCCAGGAAGCTGCTGATTGCAACTTGTCGGCGCTAGCTTCTTTCTGACATTTTGTTGCAGTGCGGGGTAACGGTCTAAGATGATGTGAGAATCTAACCGCCATGGTAGTTCCGAAGTCCGAAGCCTGCACTTCCCCGAGGTGGGAGCGGCCCTTGTGGTCTGATGCTGGCTCGGAGGCAGGAATCGCCCGCAGCTTTCAGGTGACAGAGGTTGTCAGGACTAGGGATCAAAGGCCACCCCTTTATGAAGGTGCATCTGCGGGGTCGTTGCACTCCAGAAGGTAGAAAACCACTCAAGTGAACTCTGCTACGCTGCTACACTTTGAGAGGCCATTGCCTGGAAGCCGACGTGAGGTGGCCCTGCTGGACCGGACATGACGAGTCAAAGAAGAGCCTGAAGACAGCATACGATTGCTCCCATTCTGCTTCCATTTTGGTAGACTCTTGGAGTCTCTGAGTTGCAGGATCCACAGATACTACTGCCTGCACGCTTGCGCGCAAAGCCGCGCTGGTCCAAAGTCTGGGCCCGCACCTTACCTGGAGCACTTCGAATTCCGGTGACGCGGTCATCCCAAAAGATGCCCGTCCCCCCAAACACAAAGCCGTCATCCTTCCCAGCCTTGGAGCGAAGAGGGAGCGGCTCAGGTGAAAACTGAGGCACGTATTGGGGTGGTCATGTCTGCAAAGCTGTCTTCGGGACCTTGTCAGGGTCATTTGGTTTACCGGTTCGGTCTTCGTGGATTAGGTGTTCCGCAGGGCCCACCATCTCTCTTGGAGTCGGAAGCAAGTTCGAGCATGAATCAAGAGCTAGAAGCTGCTAGCAGCTAGCTGCATATGTTCTGAGGGCGGGTGTCCGTCCCCGCAGGCCCCTGCATTCCATCCCAATCCCACTCACTCACTAGAAACCCGTAGAAAGGTGATTAGTGTCGCAGGTGCCATGCCACTCGCTTATGCAAGCCGTCTCTCAGCATCTTTCAGCCATATTGCTAAGCCACAGGTTTACGCAAAGCTGATGCGCGGTGGCGAGCAGTGCCTTGGTTTCAACGGCATAGACACCGAGAGAGAGAGGGTCGCAAGGAGACTACCTCTGCATTGGACTTCAAGCTGCTGCCACCACCTTCTACCGAGGTTTCCGCCAGTTGGCATTGCTTGGCGTGAAGACTCTATGGACTGGAGATGGCGGGACGGCTGCCATCGGTACCTTGTCCGAGGTTTCACTTCAAGCTTAGCAGCTTCCTGCAAGCGTTGTCAGACGTGCCGGTACAATCGAAGAGTGTGATGAGGTACTTTGGAGCATTGGTGAGTGGCAGATACTTGCCGGCATCCTGGTGGCAAGAATTTAGCAGTATTGCGCCGCAGCCAGCTTGGGGCTTGAACCATTCGCATGGGAAAATGTTCTACTTGGTCTGCGAAGGTGTCTTTCAAAGATCCTACTCAGCGATCGCTCAACAAGTGATGCCGCTGCGACCGCGACCCTGTGTACATATCCCGATTTAGCTCGATGGAAGCTGCGTCGTGCAGTGGTGGTGCTGTTTGATTGGAGTTTGGGCAGTGCCGAACCAAACCGGCAGAGCTGACACCGGCGCAGCGCTTTACACTGCACCCAGCATCTACTGCGTTCAAGCCTGGCGGCATGGCTGAGAGTGGACTGGGCCGCGGCAAGTGCTCCAGACCGAGTTTCTAAGTTTTGCATCGCCTAGCGCAGGAGCGCGATCACAAGCGACGACCAGGCCCGATCACGAAGACAGCAGCGCGTGTCACACTGAAAGTGCTACTGAGGGCATGCATGGCACGGTGCCAGCTCTCAAACAATTGAGCATCTCTTAGGCTGAGCTACGGTAGTGGCATCCTGCAACAGAGATCAACAGAGTTCTGTCGCTCCGTTCCGCTCGGCCAGATGCGACGCGATCGGCAAACGGTGGAGGCTCAGACCAAAACTACACACACACACAGCTCCATGCTGGTTCTGATGGTAATCTAGTCCGATTCCAGCCAGCCGCATCGTGTCCCAAACGGGCTTTCGAATCTGACGGATCTCCAGGACTATAGGGCGAGCCACTGACATGATTCGAGTTCGTTCAAGCGACAGGTGTCGAGGAGCGGCCAGAGAAGCGTGTGGGGCACTTGATGCATTCGAAGAGGGTTTGCAAGGTGCAGCTGGAGGGTGACGATGTTTTCACAGGTGCGGCGCGAGGAGGATGCGGCCCCTGCCGTGACCTCAATCCCGAAAACTTACTGAATTAGCTTAAATGCAACCTTGGCTCTTCGGCAGTACGAAGCGTCTGTGGATGAGAATCCATGGCATAGCCCGTGCACTGTCAATCTCTCATGAAAGTGCCGCTCTTGCCAGAAGCGGCGGGATGACGAAGTCGTCGCCTTGCGCTTAACAAAGCTGGACGCAATTTAGACGTACGGAGCTGCATCTTCTCGGGAGTCAACCGTGAGCCCCAAGCTGCGTGACAAAAGTATCACTAGCTACGACAAACCTCGAGTCAAGGTGATCCCATCATCCCCATCTCACCGACCGGCCATCAACCGGAATGCAGGCGGTGCTTCTGAGGGTTCAGGGGGAGTGTACAGCAAGAGTCCCTTCGAGAGCTAGAACGGTGACAAAGCCTAAAGCAGAGATGCAGGAAGTGCACGGAACTCCCTGTCCGTGCAACCTGGAAGCGATCGCGAAGGCCGAGCTCAGGGTGGCCTTTGTCTTTTTTGCATGAGTCCAAGGCCTAACCTTCAAAGCAAGCGATGCAGGAGGTGGTTCGAAGTCGTCGGTCAGCGTGACGTGAACAGCATCCTAGGTCGTAAAGCATTCAAGAGCTCGTGCTTGCACTGCATGACATCATGTTAAAACCCAGTGGCGTGCTTGATGTTCTGTGGCTCATGTGTGAGTCTTGTGTAGGCCGCAGCAGCAGAAGTGTGGTTAGCGGCCAGGCACTGAGAGAATCTTAGAGAGCGACAGTTGCAAGTGAGAAGCCTGGGGAGACGACCAAAGCCCAATTTCATGCAGCCTTCACTCTCCACATCCAGACTGACGCTTGCTCTGCTAAGGAGGATACGATACGTATTCCCGACGTCCTGGCGTCCAGCATGCTGAAGCCTAAGACAAAGGGTCGCGACCATGGCAGACCTTGGCGGCATGACGGCTCCCTCGAGGATGTGCGTAACACAGCATGTACCAAAGCTTCATAGATACTGGTAACAGGGGTACCACCTGCTACTGGCCGCTGCACATGATGCAGTTAGTTTATCACATGTCACAGCGAGGTGGAGTGTCAACTTTACACTCACCCAGCTCCAACAGCCACTGCCCGCCTGCCAGCAAAAGTCACAAGGGCATAGTGTGTCCTTCGGAATATGTTCCCTTCGATGTGATGCGATTTAGAAAACGGAACAGAAGGGGTCGTGCTGCCCAGGGAGCGCCGTCCAGACACGAACGGCGCAGGCTTGCCAGCTGCCTCTGTAGGATCCACGGTGCGGGTGTGAAGCGGCTTCTGTTCTGAAGTACAGTAGAAGCCAGAAAGTTGGAACATCGTGATCCTCATGCCCTTAATGTAAAGTATAGGGAATCCCAGCACTAATCATCCTAAATCCATATTCCAACCTTCAGGGGTTCACTACAAGGGCCGGATCTTCTCGTGCGGTTGGCGAGGTGACTGCCCGTGGTCCTGCGTCTGGCAGAATCCCAAGCATTGTTCAGCAACTTCGGGAGTTCCTTAATCGCCTAACTTGGTCAGATGGGCAGGGAGCCGATGATATCATCCAATGTGTCGGCTTTCTCTAACAGGAAGAGCAGTGGTGGTTTGCTGACATTGTCTGTGACACGTGAAGTCCTCCGTGGCAAGGTCTGGTACGCCAACCTGGCTCAGGAAAAAAGATGCAAATGCGTTGCAACGTGACTGGCAGGGAAGCTTGAGATGGTTGCATCGAGCGTTCACAAGTCCAAGTGTTGCCTCCAACTTTTGGCCCTCAGTGTGTACAAATGTAGATCGACCGAACGGAGTCGCGGCTTCGTCCGTCCTTCGCCTTAGCCTGAACCGTCACACCCTAGCATCTCAAACCGTTGCAATCTCCTTGAAGCGAAGCACGCAACAATGGCTGCCGCCGGCTTCGCTGCTTGGCCCGGGGTCCAACTTCCACCAGGTGCGGCCTTGGCCTCTGCAAGAAGGTTTCTCAATGTATCACGATTGCTTGCATCTTGCTCGTCTGACTTGAGCTCCGATTCGCAGGTCTTGACCGGCCGATCCGGCCAAGTTCCCATGGAGCAGCAGGAGTGGCCGAGTGAATGTTGGGCGATATTGGGCGACATGCGAAGTTTGGCCAGGATCTGGTTGCGGTGCTCGTGCGGTGCCGGAGATGGCCCCGGCCCCAGCCGTTGAGGGCCCACCGGCCCCAGTCGGTCTCGCGGGAGAGGGAAGTACCCTCCCCGAGGCAGCCGTCGGGCTCCTCGCGCTGGCAGCTCCCCGCCGGTGCCGCACGGCACAACGGGCGGAGGCCGGAGTGGAGCGCGTTCCGCAAAGGCCGCGCCGGGTTCTCGCTGCCCAGGGGCCAGATCGAGGGTTCAGGATCCTGGAGGCAGGGGCCGCCACGGTGTGTGAAAGCCGGTTCGCAGGGCGAGCGCACCGTGCGAGCGCATTTCGTGGAGTGCTTGCTGCCGCAATTCCATGTGACTTTGCCGTCATATGCAGGTAGCATCCTCGTTCCTGGGAGGCCAGAAATCACTCGTCAAGGCGCTCTTGAGATCTGAGCCATGTAAAGAAACATCCTCGCAGCAGTGTTGCAAACTTGGCTGGCTTTCGCCTCGAGGTTTCTGTCGTTTTCCAGATTGTCCGTTCTGCTTGGGGAAAGGAAGTGCTATAATCGGGATGGGTTGATCCTGCTTCCAAGAAGTTCATTCCTCGCTGGCTAGGCTGCGCGATGGGGCAGCCGTGAGGCGGCACTTGCTTGCAAGTTGACAGGTCAATGTTCTGAAACCAGTCTGAAACGCCCAACACAAGAGTGGTTGAATGTCCGCAAGAGCACAAAAGCGACGAAGCTGGAGGCATGGAGACTGATGGTGCGAGAGCTCGCTCCACAATCCCCCGAAGGTGCGCAACACACTGCGAGCACTTCGCTTTATCCATGTGGGCAGGGCAAGCCATGGAGAGGTCTGTGCTCAGTAGCACATGCTGACAAGCAAGACTAATGTGACGAATGACGCTCTTGAAAGAAAAGTGCCAGAGAAGCAGGAGTCCACACCTCACCTTGAGGAGTGTGCTTTCCCGCTGCAAGTAGCTACCCAAACTTCCCGTGTCGGCATCCAGGGGACTACATGCGGCCACGGAGTGAGCTGGTTGCCTCAAAGGACACCAGTGCAGCACCCGAAGAGCCACCGGCAGAGCAAGCTGGATGTGTTGTCGAAGATTTAACTCGAATAGAAAACTTGGTGCTGCCTGCAGGATAAGACACCGCTCCGCTCCGAAGGCACGTTGCAAGATGCCTCGCAGCAAGCCATAAATGTCTGCTTGCCGGCATGTCTGCAGGCTATGCGCTTTACCTTGGCAATACTTGCCCTTGGTGCCACCGTGCCAAGTCGCTTGGCGACGAGCGGCTTTCTCGCTCTCTTTTCGGAGCATGTGTTAGTGGGAAGCGATGTATGCATCGTGCCTTTGTAAGTGTATGGTTAGTATACGGAGTATTGTACGGATGGCCGGGAGTGGTTTCCAGTCCTTCCATGCCAAGATGCTCAAGTGTAGTTTGTAAAGCATATCGAGACCGTTGTAAGAAGTTCAGGGTTGCTCTAAAGGTCTTTTCCGAAGAACGGATTATTGAGAAAGACTCACTTGTAAGGAGGTCCTCACTGAAAGGGGAGACTGCTTTGTGGATGTTTTGGGGCCAGGTATTTTGAAGAACGTGGTCGTTGAGGTCTTTTGTCAAATTAAGGCTGGCTTTAATCCTTCGCCGCCTGCCGCCGCGCTGCGTTGCAGATGTGAAGTCTCTCTTCTGCAACTGGCCCGACGTTCTGCTTATGTTCTGCAGGCAGCGACCCCAGCCCACCGGTCAGGCTCGTGGACAATGCCGAGCGTGCTTCACGGGGTGGCTGGGCCTTTGATCCTCAGCAAGGCGCCGGCCAGCTCTGGCGTCTGTTCTGGGTCTCGCTTGAAAGACGGCCAGTGCGAGGAGCTGCGGACCCTGTCTTTGGAGCTGCAGATCTTCGTGAGGTGTATGACCGAGCAGCAGGCAGGTTTCCTTCTTAGATCGTCATCACTACAGTTCCTAAATCAAGTAGTGATGCTAGTCGGGTGAGACAACTTTTGTCCACCTTCTTGCTCTTCTGACTCTTCTTTGTTGAGTAATTCTGTAGGGTGAGCAATAAACTGGATTGTGGTCACACACGTTTACCACATGTGGCTGTTGCAGTCCTCTTCCCGCAGGCCGCGACGGTACTGGCTATGTTGGTCGCTGCACTGCTCCATTGCTGGTCGCCGGGCTGCATTTGTGTGGATGGTCAAATTGCATTTCTGGCCTCCCGAGTTTAATCAGCCTAATGTTATCACGACCAGACCTTGGAAAGGTGGACACACGCAGCCGGCGAGCCGTGTCCAACGACAGCGTCCAGCGCTCTGCATGAAAAATGTGGGGCCAGTCCATGGGCCGTTTGCCGAGAGCATATTTTCCTGATTAGTCGCCATGTCATTCTGCTCGTATTAGCTCGCTGCTGCAAGGATTGTTCGGCTCATTGGGACCGCCAGCGTCTGTGCCTCAAGCATCTACAAGCTGGGCAGCAGAGCAGAAGCGGGAAATTGGCCACACGTTCTCCACCGAGGAAACAGACGAAGAACGCAGACAGGGCCGAGCAGTCGACCTGGTGCCGCAGGAGCTGATTGGGCAGATTGAGGTGCCCAGTCGTGGTTTGATGTCTCGCCCTCGCGTAGCCTGTCATCGCTAAGCCAAGCTCATCCCAGCTAAAAGAAAGTCACGGCCCTTTGAGGCCACGACTCACTGGACCTACGAGCTCCTGTCCAACGCAGTTTACCGGGCAGGCTTTGCCACAACCCAGGACCTGACATTGTTCTGACCCTTGCTGCCTTGCTTTTGTGCGAAACTTCGGGGAGGGGTCGGATTGCTGGAGCTTGGCCTGCTTGACTGTCAATGTCGCCTTCAGAGGAAGCCTTTGCACGTGCTGCAAGGGATGTCGCAGAAGGCCACTCAGCTGCGCTGCCGGATAAGGGTAGGCAGACGATTATGTCCCTTGTCATTGCGCAGATGCCGTGCACAGATTTGCAGTGCAAGGGCATCAATCATTGCACGTTCTCTGGTTTTGGAGCTGGTGCTTGCAGCCTGACTGCAGGCCTGGAGCGTGTTGAGCAGCAGTTGGCTGGGAGCCGGTTTCTGTGCCTTCGGCAGAATAAGTGCTCGGCTGGAAGCCTGCAACAAGCCATAACAAGCCACAGGAGAAGGGGGCATAGATGGGCATAGTCGTGGCACTGACAATTTTCAAGATGAAGCAAGGCTTAGATGTGCGCTGAACCTGTTGTTTCACAGAGCGTCCGTACAAAGAACCTGGCCCATCCTAGCCTGAGAAGCGTACAGGTGTGGTGACCGTCTTACAGAGGCAGACGTGACTCGGCCGCGGGCAGCTTGGGTGTGCTCAGCCATTTGATGGTACTGCCCAACCAGCATGCCTGACTCTGCAAATGGGCTGGAGTCGAGGAGCTTCAGTCGCCTGCTTTTTACACTGGGGCTTAATTAAGATTTGTGGTTTGTGTACTTTCGGTCTTTGCGTATGGGGCTATCCTGTCGCAGTCTGGGGTTCAAGTGCACAGGGCAACAGGCAGGCCGTGAGGTTTTCTCAGGTCCCTTGGATGAAGGGAGGGAACGATGGTGGTAGGTGGCTGGAATCCCTTATGCTAACTCTTTTTTCCCATATCCAACCTCTGCCTGAAAGGCATTCTGACTGCAGGTGACACCGGCAAGAGGAAAAGAGGTGTTAAAACCAAAATATGTTTGTGGTATCAATGCCATGTGATTCGTAACGCCTTATCAGGATTTGTGGCAGAACTTTTGCGGAGTGTGCCAGGCATGCAACATGCCGAAAGGAGCTCGTCCCCGACAAGAGAGTTTGCGTTCTCGTCCGGTTCCCCCCAAATTCAAACTTCACGTGCTTTGTAGCATCGGAAAGTCTCCTGCTCTTCCCAGGTTATGCTGTTGCCATGCGCCGCACGTTTTGATGCTGTTTACGCCTCTCTTTTCTTGAGGTCCGCCGTTCGCATGTTACGCTGTCATGGACTGCCCTCGTCTTCTGCTTGCAGGGGCTCCTGTGGCCTGTGGCGTGAAGGCGCAGATGGCACCTCGCGGCTCACAGATTCAACAGATCTGCCGTTTGACATGAATCTGAGAGGCGAACACCGCCGCCGGTGGCTTCAGCGCTGCTGGTCCTTACCGGGGGCGCTCGATCTCAGGGGGCTCTGGGTGGTGGACCGATAGCCACCACACACTCGTGTAGTAAAGGCATCCGGAATCCGGATGGTTCGGAACGAAGTTGCCAAATACAAGGGCCAGGGTGCGTCCTTCGACACCCACCAATAGTATCATGTGAAGAAAGGAGCATCTGCACTGCACTGTTACGACATGAGTGGGTGCGTGGAAGTGCATGGGGCTGCCATGCCATCCATGCCTGCAGCAGGTGCCGCAAACTGTCGATCTGCGTGCCTGTCAAGAGAGCTGCCTGCATGCAGCTCTAGAGTTCTAGAGCCCAAGCTTCTGATTCTGGTCGTGCGGCAAGTCTTCGTGTAGTAGCTCTGAGCATGACTGCTGCATGTCACGCACATTCACGCATCAACCCTACGAAACGAATTCCACGGGCAGACTCTACTCAGGTTACTTCCGCAGCCTCTTCCCCCTGAACCCGTCGCAGCTGCTGCCTAAGTCACATCGTCAGTGCCGGCTTGCAATGTGCAGCATGGTTCATGCTGTCACCAGGATCGTTCCGGTACCTGCTTCTGACCCCGGTGCGCTCGGAACAGAGAGCATCTCCGAGGAGGACAGGCGCCGGCTCGTGCTTGCACACCCATGAAGCTGCGAAACTCAGGGCGGAGCCTCGTCGATACGAGTTGACTGGCAAGGAAGACCTTATGAGACAGTGCACCGTGAATAGCCGTCCACATGCATAGCCATCTACTTCCTCGTCGGTGCCGGCGAAGCTTCCCTGACGGTCATGGGAATCGCACACATTCAGAACGCTTGCGTCTGACAAGCAGGACCTGGATGCATTCTTCCACTGGCGGAAAGTCTGAGGAGACGACCAGCGCTACAGTAGCTCTTTTGCGATGTGCAGCTTATTGTAGCTTCATTGCGAAGTGCTGCTGCAGCAGAGCCTGTTGAGCCGACGAGCGGATTGGAAAATGCTGCGATCAACAGGCGCAGATTGCTGGTCAGCATTGCAGAAGAACCATGCCCTGGTGGCATGCCCTTTGTGCAGGTTGAATGCGAGCGGCGAGCGTAACGTGTCTTTCCTCGCAGGCATTTTAGATTATTTTGCCGCTGTTTTCTCTTCTCCGGCAGGTTCCTTTCAGCGATTGTCCGCTGAGCCATGTGGGCTTCAGCTCAGTGCCTTGACATCCAATCTCCCCGGCCTCGCCATGTTCGCTCCCAGCCAGCAGTCCATGTCAGCAGCCGAGCAGCAGGAGACGAAGACCTGGTTGACCTCCGTGGCCTTCACGAGCGCCACCATGGAGGCTTTCGAGAAGCACGCCATCGGCAAGAACCAGCTGGCCTACTTGGAAGACACGCACTTGAAGCAGATGAACATCTGCATCGGCGACCAGCTGCGCATCAAGAAGGCTGCCCAGGAGCTGAAGCAGGAAGAGGCCAGGCAGCAGGCCATGCAGGAAGCAGAGAGGGCCAACAAGATTGTGGCCACCTTCGCAAACAAGTTTTCTTGCTGTGGCTTGCCATGTACGCCGTTCCAGCACCATCGCACGACGTGGCAGATGTCCGAGGCGGGCATCGTCGAACACAAGGGTCTTGGACTGGGCAAAGGCGTCAAGCAGAACAACATCGACTTTGCGCAGGTGGCCGACGTGGACCGTCAGTCATCGGGCTGCGGTGGCTGCTTGGGCACCGTGACGCTCACAACCACCACCTCCGAGATCTACGCGCTGAAGACGGACCAAAGCAAGGTGGTTTTCGACGATGTCAGGAAGCACTGGCAGGCGGCAAAAGCAGCAGGAACCGCCTGAAGTGGCATTTCAACGCTGCTTTATTCAATACTTATCCTATCCCCCCAAGCACATCGGACCTTCAGCATTCTTCATCCTTGCCGAAGTCTCTTAAGTTCGCAGAGTGCTCTGCAAAGTTCTTGGGGAGGGTCAGGTCACCCTGGCATCGGCTGACTTTTCCCACTTTGTCAGCCTCAGGGCCATGAACAATCAAAATAGAACCCTTAGGCAGCTCCGTCATGCGCCAGCTCTGCCTAAAAGACCTGGTTCGGGGCTGTTAGCGTTGCACTTGTAGACTCTTGTAGGCTTGCAGCCTGTGTGTTTATCGCGTGGGCTTACCGGCGGTCTGATTCCCCAGTTGCATCGGGGGCTGTCTTGAGTCGCAGGGGGAGTGCGTGAGGCGCAGGAGCTCCAGCATCTTCCACCACGAAAGCCTTGCGAAGCGATGGTCTCCGGCAGGTTCCTTTCAGCGATTGTCCGCTGAGCCATTTGGGCTTCAGCTCAGTGCCTTGACATCCAATCCCCCCGGCCTCGCCATGTTCGCTCCCAGCCAGCAGTCCATGTCAGCAGCCGATTGGAAACTGAGCAGAGTTTGCGGGTAGGCTGTGGTATTGTTTTGTCAGAGACTTGGGCCCTTCGATTGCTTGCGCCTCTGTTACAGACATGTGTTTCGATAATATGTAAACCCGAAGGTACTGTAATTACGTCCTTGACTCCAGGTATGTTGTCGTGCATCGTGCTGTGCCGAACTAGACTCGGCCAGCCTGCGACACATTTTGCTGTGCTACATTGTGCTTCACGCTAGTCCACCAACCACCACATGCTGCTGTAAGATGTACAGTTGTACTTGTTGGCAGCCATGGAGGCATTCGGTGCGTGAGAAAAAGTGAAGGAGCTTGCAGCCTCTTAAATGGAGTCATGGAGTCATCATGAATATCAGCATCGGCATCGCCGTCAGCGTCAGCATCCTTCTCATCATCGTCATCATCGTCATCACCACCACCATCATCATCATGCTCATGGCTAGCTTTCTTTGGGCGGGCCCCTTAAAGTATCGTGGGCAGTGCAAGTGTCCAGCCGTCCAGCTGCCCAGGTTCGCGGCATGGAGCCATGGAGGAGGCAACGTCAGCTCAGCATAGCTCAGCTAGGTCCCCAACACAACCCATCCTCAGTGCAGTAGAACAGGGTCTGGAGACTGAGCAGCAACTGCCGGCAGTAAGATCTACCACGTGGCGCAGGCTTGGCCCGAAGCTCGGTGCTGTCTGCGCATTGGGCACTTCTGTAATTATTTTCCTAAGCTCCACGCCCGAAGGGCGCGGTGGGATACCCCTCGTTTTCACTCCATGTCGTGCTTGCCATCTTTGGTACCTCTTCCACCTGGCACGGCACTGTTGCAGCATGTGCAGACTCTTGAGGGGTCATCCTCGTCGGAGGCCGGGGCACATCATTGAGCCTATACAGGTAGACACAGCTTGACACGTAAGCCCGGTCCAGATCACCCCTAATCCTCCCGGCAGGCCTGCCCAGTGTATTTTCCCATGTACACCATTGACTTGGCGGCGGTCTTGCAGATGGTGAAAATCAAGCCGCACGAAGAGCTGCTGGCAGACGGAGCCCTCACTCTTTTCGATGAGAACACGGGGCGCGCAGCTTTTGTTTCTCACCAGTGGGTGGCCAAGCATCATCCAGATCCAGATCACAGGCAATTCCGAGTCTTACAAGATGCCTTGCGAAATATCTTGTCGGGAGTCACGCAGATTAGTGTGGACGTGATCACAGAGCTCATCATTGGCAAGTCTCCGAAAATGACACATTCTTTGCATCCGGCGGATCTGTATATCTGGTACGACTATTTTTCCTGCCCGCAGAAAGAGAATGGGCGTGATGCCAGCAAAAGGTATGACAGTGATCTGGCAAAAGCTATCAGCAGCATTCCAGCCTACATCGCCAAGTGTCAGCTGATGTTTGTTCTCTGCCCAGTCATTGAAAGTCGTGAAGGGAGGACGGTATTGGGACCATCGAGTTGGGCTAACCGTGCCGTGGCAGCCTGCAAGTTAGGAGCTGAGTGCCTTAGGCCATGCGTTGTTGCATCTCGGCAAACTGACGGTAATGGAAGGCATTCTCGGGCTAGGACATGAAGCTGCGAAATTGCGAAACCGAGGTGGGTGGTGCAGACTCGAGAGGCTTGCCAAGGAGTGTTCTGGAGATGGCTCCTTCTTCATGGTGAAGAGCGCCAGGCATGTGGAGCTGGTCGTAACGTCCTTTGCATCTTCCTGTGAGAGTTCTCCCGGTGAAGGCTGCTTCACGGTGGAAGAGGATCGCTCAAACATCGCCCCAGTGGTGAAGCAGGTGCTGAAGCAAAAGGTGAGTCAGTGCCTGCAGAATGGAGATTTGCCCAGCTACCGGGTGGTGCTGAATGCGCAAGCTATCCTTTGCAGAGGCCTTCCGATGGAGACCATCGCAGATGTTGTCCCAGGCTTCGATTCCTCCCAACATGAGTCTGATGATGCTGGGTCCCTCTTGGTTGCGAAGTTCTTATTCCAGAATGGTTTTTCCCAGGTGTGTGAGTATGATGCAATGGGATGGTCACCGATCTGCTACGCCGCTCTGAATGGGCATGCAGCATTGGTGAAAGCTCTGCTGGAAAGGCGCGCCAACCCGAACGATGAAACCAAGAAGGGGCAGCCGCTGCTGGCTCTGCAAAAGATGGTGCCCGTGCTGGGCATTTCTGCATTTTTCAAGAAAAACAATGCCATGACGGTGCTCCTGGAGGCCAGAGCTGATGTCAGTCCCAGAGGCTCGCGACCTCCGCCTTTGTGTCTTGCAAGCTTCGGGAACAATGCGACCGGTATACAGCTGCTCTGTCAAGCTCGAGCAAACCCGAACCGAAAGAATCTTCTGGGTATGTCTGCACTGCAGCATGCTTGCGCAACAGGTGCTTGTGATGCCATCGATATGCTCCTGAATATAGGAGAGGGCAACCTTGATCTGTCAGGCTCTTTGCATGCTGCAGCCTTGCTTCACGGTGGGTCACATACAACTATCAGCAGATTGCTTGAAGCTCGGGCAGACGTAGATGAGCAATTCCGTCCACGGCCTTGGGGCACACTTCAGCTGTTCTTCACCATGAAAGGGTTGGAGTTCAGATTGAAAAGACCTACAAGGTTGCGTACTCTGGGCTACCACCATCGTGGCGCAACCCCACTGATGGTTGCCTTGCTTGTCGGACATTTCGAGGCGGCAGCGACACTCGTGGCGTGTGGTGCTCGGGCACACGTCGAAAACTCCAGAAAGATTACTGCTGCAGATCTCATTAGTGAGGTGTCCACACCTGAGTTTCTGAAAGACGCTAGTGCAGGTGATTTAGAAGACACTGTGTCGGTCTTGTCACAACTTCGCCTTCGAAGAGAACGCTCGAGCTTCAACCGCCGAGTGTCCAGTTTGCTCCTCAACGGGACCAGGAGGCGAGGAAGAAACTAAAAAGAGGGCAGATTCCAATCTGCAATGTGAGGCGGCATGCAGAACGTTAAGCAAACATAAGCAAACATAACATGACAATCAGGAAGCGCCCGGAACTGACGTCAGCGAGCGTACCATGCGATCGACCTTCAAGCTCTTGCTATTTAGACTGCGAAATTGGTGGATACTGCATGGATTTCTGCAGGATCCACCAATATAAAAGCCTCGTTGCTTGCAATTGAGCATGTGTGCTTACCCTTCCCAAATCATCTCCTGGCGTATGTGCCTTGCTTGCTTCCGACTCATGCCGACATCCAGGAGGGCCCCAAGAACTGGTCCGATGAGCTGGCCCGATGCATCCTGAAGATCGAGAGTGCTGTATGTCTGCCTGAGCCGCGCCGCATCAGTGCAGCAAAGCGCATGTTGGTCTAGCTCGAAAAAGGATCTTGGAACCTGGTCTGGCAATACTACTACAGACGAACTGCTTCGACTTGCCAGAATACCGCTTGGAGCAAACTCGTGACCTGATGTGATGTGCTCGAGAAGAAGCATGTGCGCATGCAACAGAATATAATGTAATATAGTATACTCGACTATGTACTATATACTGACTACAAGAGTAAAACATAAGATACTATGCTATACTATAATGTAAGATACTTCAAGATGGTATAAACACCCAGAGCCCGACGTAAAGAGGAAGTGAGGAAGCAAGGGCAGGCTGGCGACACGTACTCGATTGCTGTTGCTGTTGCATGACCAAACGTTGGGCTGCGAGCAGGCAACGCAGTAGCATGGCAGCCGACTTCAGTTGACGAACATCCTGTGAGGTCACTCTTTCTTTCACACCGTGCCCGTTGAATTGAAACAAATGTAAAGATCTGTTTTACCAATGCGTGTTTTCAGAACTCATTTAGGTGCAGCCTGTGAGTCATAGATTATCTTGCCCTCACGGCAGCCAGCTGTCGTGCATGGACTGTGGCAGCATCCGTGGAATTGCTGATGAGGTCAGTCTATTCCGTTCACACCTGCTAACTGTTAGCTCTGGTGGAAGCTTGCCGACGTGGTTGTCGGCAAATCTAGCAGTGGAGTGACAGCAGTGCGCATGCGCTTCCTGTACTGAAGTGAGTGACTCAGAGGATGCACAGACCGACCGAGCTAACTCCCGCTTCAGATTTACAAAGGCACTTGATCAGCAAAATTGAATCCTGCAACCTGCGCACAGAGCCAAGACACAATGTACCAGTTCAGCACGGAGACCAGCGGAGTTGTGCGCCTCAACTAATCACGCATATCTAGGCTGGCGGTCCTAGTCCTACTACTTGGATTTCGGGGCCTCCACGTCTCAATCTGGTCACGACTTCTTTCTTAAGCTTAAGCATCATTGAGCATGCATCTATAGACTGTGCAGCTTTGGCATGGGCATGCACTGTATTTGCGTTGCGTCGGCTAGTGCGGAGTGCGGACTTGCTGTCAGGCCGACTGTGGCATTTCTGCCTTTGTGAACTGGGAGCTGAAGCCCATCGGAGGGGCCTTGAAATGTGCCTTGGCCTTTCCAAGCACAGGCATGTTGAGTTGTGTTGTTTCGTTGCCGGCAGCCTCGTGCGGCCTGCAGGCTTTCCGGAAGATTTCGTGGTCAAAGAGCTTCCTCTTCCGGACACCGAGTCTGGTGCCTCGCTTAGCCAGCTCTCTGGCAACATAATGCAAAAGCCTTAAAGGCTTTCGTCCATGCTTGAACTCGCCAATCGCAACTTGTGTCGCCGAACCCCTGGAAGGCGAGGAAGAGGACGAGAAGCAGTTCCTCCGATTCCGCCTTAAGAAGCGTGGCCTGGACACACTGGAGGCAATTGGAGACTTATCGAGAGAAGTCAGAAGTCGAAGGCAATGCCTGTTTTGCAGCAAGTGCCACACCATTCTCGCGAAGATTTTGACCTGAGTCGATTGTCTCCATGCTCGAGGCCGTTGATGCACTGGCAGCCGCTTGCCACGTCCCTGCACACAGGTTGCCTGACATATCAATCTCGCCTTTGCTTTCGCAACTAACATGTATCAAATCAGAGATCATGGGACCAGGTTTGGTTTCGCAGGGATCAAGGACACGTCTTGCTTCATGCAAGTCTCACTGCAAGACAGCAGTCGATTTACATGGTTCGCTGTTTTGACCTCAGCTGTCACACCGGCACAGTCCGCATGCTGCATGCACAGGACTCTTTTGCTGTCACGACCCAAGAGCTGACCGTGCCGCGAAGCTTGATCACCGAGGTCCGCAATGCTATCTGCTTTTCAAGGGGGTACAGCCTTACAGCCTTCAAGGGCTTTTGCTCTGCATGAACGGGTCTTCAGGAATCAATGACCGTGATGCAAGGATGCCTAGAGACTACGCAGGCCGGGCTGCGCAAAGCAGCAGCGAACCTTCCCGGGCTGCTCGGAGTAATTATGCTTCAGCTCTTCCCATGTCGCGCTGCTGCTCTACAGCAACTAGCACCAGGCACCGGAAAGAAGGACGCAACCAATAGTATCTGGCAGAAGACAACACCATAATGCGCCAATTAGACTTGCTGTCGGCAAGTCACGTATCACCAAACCGGTACTGGTTCTCGAGAACGAAAGTGGGAGCTGAAGGCAGAACTGGCTTCGGGCATCACGGCTTTCTCACAAATCTGTCTCACGAGAGGCCATGACAGGCTTGACCCCGAATAGACAACAATCACTGAACTTGAGCCAGATTGCTGCAGACTTTCCTTCTTGAAACAAACGCTGCTCGACGATCCCTCGCCGAAGGAGGAGGTGCCTCAACAGGTAAGCTCCGGCAACTTAGGGCAGCACCTTCTGCTGCTCTGCCAGACTGGCATATTAAAGCCAGCCTCATGCTACTAGTACACGGTGCCACGTCATCAACAAGCGACATTAGACAGAGCCTGGCACGAGGGCCTGCAGGGCTGCAGGGTATCACTTCTCTCCGAAGGAAACTCTCCAGTATATAGTTCGAGATGAGACGTCCAAACCTTGCTCCGTGGCACCCATAGGTGAAAGCTCTGCCAACGTTTAGCTTGGTTGCTGAAGATGGCATTGTCTGATGTGCATCGACGACGAGCCAAAACACGCACTGGGTTTACCTGGTGGACGTTTCTTGAGAAAACGTGCATCGCCATTCTCCACCAGGAGTCTTACTGGATTCTTTATCCTGTTCTCCTTATCTGAGGTATTGTTCGGGTACACGTGCTGATCCCACCCACCCACACGCACAATTGCCCATGCATATGTCGCCCATCTTTGTTGCACGTCATGTCGAAAAGAAATGGATCACCACCAGAGACAGTGACAGGCTGAATAAGCAAATCTGAGCCCTTGCTCCTGTGCAGTTTACGGGTGGGTCGTGTGCGACGCAGCCGTCGACCTCTCGTGCCAGGACGCTTGAGAGGCTGGGGATGGAGTTACCTCTGGGTTTAACAGGCATTATTTTTGGAATTTCAGGAGAAGCTGTCAGGTTGAGTTAGTGTGTCAGTCGCCACCAGAGCCTTGATGCAATAGCTGTCTCCTTTATATGGAGCGGGCTGTCGAGCAAGCTGTTCTCTGCAAGTGTGCTGTGCTTGCACAGGCAATCGCTTCATTCTTAGAGTTAGCACCTCAGCACGGTTCGGCCTTTACCACATGTGAAGACAACATTGACTGCAGTTTTGCATATTATGCTGCTAGTTTCGTCCGCATGCTTCGTCGAATCAGTGGTTTCTTGATAGGTTGCCCATCACGAAACCAGCGTGTGCTTCTGCCAGATCAGAACACTGTCCCACCTCTAATGGTGCGACTTCCGTTGCGTGACATGTTCCGAGAGTGTCGTGGAACGCGAGATGCTGTCTGAGTAGAGCGCCTACCCCGACAACTCAAAACTACCGACGACGGGTGACGGGACTAAAAGGTCCGTGGCATCCAGTCCAGTGCCGAGGAGGCCTGTTTGCCTGGGTCATTTTGGGCTTTTCTGCCGTCACAGACACGTCACGACAGCTCAAGGTGAAAGCAGCCGTGGAATCCCTGAAGACGAGGGGTTTCATCAACTACGCCATGGCTTCAGCTCGAATGCTCAAGGACCGAAGGGCCTTGGCAAGTAGATGAGCAGTGTGAGTGCCGTGACTCAGGTTGGCATGCAGCGTTTTGGCAAGGGCGGTGTCCGCAGTGACCTCCTCGGCTTGGCATACCTCCAGGCCGAACTGGGCTTGACCCAGAACCTGTTATGAACTAGCCGTATGCACATATGAACGTCGCAGTAGACGGCCGTCGCACGCTTCTGCTCAAGCTCGGTCCTGTTTGCGCACCCGTTGAGTTGTGATTAACTTTGCAGGCAATTGGATATGAACGAAAGCCAATCGGAGGCTGCCACTGTCGAACACAAAGCAGAGCTCAAACAGGTGTCTCCCTCGTTTTTCGTTCATGTCGTGCTTGCCATGCTTGGCATCTCTTCCTCCTGACACGGCACTGACGCGGCATGCGCAGACACTGGAGGGGACATCCGCCTTAGAGGCAGGGGGTCGACAGGGGATGGTAATGGATAAGCATCGGCAGGGGTAGTCGGAGTTGGCGTTTGCAGGGCGATTGAGCTGACAACTGAGATAGTCCAACCCCCGCCCAATCCTTCAACTTTATCGACAGGCCAGTCCAGTGTATTTTCCCATGTACACCATTGACTTGGCGGCGGTCTTGCAGATGGTGAAAATCAAGCCGCACGAAGAGCTGCTGGCAGACGGAGCCCTCACTCTGTTCGATGAGAACACGGGGCGCGCAGCTTTTGTTTCCCACCAGTGGGTGGCCAAGCATCATCCAGATCCAGAGCACAGGCAATTCCGAGTCTTACAAGATGCCTTGCGAAATATCTTGTCGGGGGTCACGCAGATTAGTGTGGACGTGGTGACCGAGATCATCTTCGGCAAATCCACCACAACGGCAGCACACCACTTGGATCCAGTGGATTTGTACATCTGGTACGATTATTTTTCCTGTCCGCAGCATGAGCACCAGCGTGATCCCAGTCAGAGCCAACACGGCGAACTGGCAAAAGCCATTAACAGCATCCCTGCGTACGTCGCCAAGTGTCAGGTGATGTTCGTGCTCTGCCCAGTCATTGAAAGCTGCGACAACGATACCACGGCACTCTTAAGTCCTTCGAGTTGGGCTGGTCGTGGCTTGCATGTTACTGTCAGCTTCAGTTGTCTAGGTTTACAGGAAGTTTCGGGGGGTCGAGCTGTCGGAGCGAGGCGTCGGTATGGTGCAGTGCGACTAAATGTTCATCCATGTTCAGCTGTGGAGCTAAGGCTCGAGCGACAGCAGGCTGAG